TAAATCTATCGTTTCAATGAATTTCAATAGAATTGACTAAACAGTCCATCATTTTCATTTTTTGATGGCATTCAAAGAAGAATCGATAGCAGAAAATTATTATTTCATTTTCTCAATATTATACTAAAAGTATTGAATCGGAAATTCCTATACTATGTTTGATAACTGAATCATATTGAAAGAAATATTGTTATGTTTCGAGCTGTGTTTAGCTCAGACGCTTGCTCGCTTGTAATGTAATCTTTTCTGTTCTATGTTCTCTCGTTCGAATCTTCATCTATGCACACTTTATATTCTCTTCTAAAAAATTGTTGTGATACGATATTCTATATACTCGTGCTAAAGTAATAATGAATTGTGTTCAATAGGTCGACCTTCTGCAACAATTGAATTATTTTAAATTTTTGTCAAATAAAAAAACGCGTTTCGCAGCGTAAAAACAGAAAACTCTGAAACGCCGCTAATAAAAACGAGTTTTCTCGTTTCTAAAACGAACGCTACGAAACGATACATACATCACAGCGTTTTGCATCATTTTCTTGACATGCTGTAAAACGCATTAATGCTGACCGGTTTAATGCGTTTCGCAGTTTCTCTTAAAGATGATGCGAAACACTGCCGAACGCTATTCGTTTCCATCCGTTCCGTATACAAGGTGTGAAACGCGTGAAACCGGTCAGCATTAACGCGTTTCGCCACTATGGAGAAATGCGTTCTCGGAACGCATTTTTTTCGCAGAAATTTATGCCATGGGCTGTAGATCAAATTGCATTGTGCCCACAGAAATTCTTTCACAATTCAAAGTAAACCAAAGTATTTGAGTTGCTTTGAAAAAAGATTGGAGACAAAGAATCCACTTGTAATAGTAGAAAATAAATAATCAATGCAATAGATATTTTGAAAGACGAGGAAAAACCAAAACATAAGAGAACTATAAAATATCGAATTTTGCTGCTACCGTGTGATGTATCTGGTTTTGAATAGTGTAGCTCGTTATCTATTGAGTTCGATAAAGGATATAAGATGAATTTAATCGTTTAATCTAAGCCTCATATTAGCTTGATATTTAGTCTCAAATAATAAATGAATCGATGCAATCTGTTCGATATCTTATCGACTGTTGATCTTCAACTAACGAGCAAATACGTGATCCGTATTCTTCTGAAAGATTAAATTTAACAAAAAAGTAAAATAGCTATCATCTTTATTTTCTTCTAGATGATGCAAGTGGATCAGACATCACTATTTTCCAACATAAATGGCAACGCGTTGGCATGTAATAGTACCATTGTTTAGCAAACTCACTCTTTAAGAGAGGGTTTGCGAGATCACCAACAGAGTGGACCGCTGCTAAAAGTTTTTTTTGGATCCTTTTATTGCAAACGAAAGATCATATTGAGAACCCTATGAATCCAAAATATCACGTTTTTCAGACACACCTATGGAAAATAGCGAAGATAAAAACTTTTAATATTTGGTGGATAGACCATGAAATTTAAAAAGAAAGTGATCCTCAATAGTCATTATCCTTAGTAGTTAGCCGTTGTACGGACTAAGTTTGTTCCAAATAAAAATCTGACTACAGATTCATGATCAGCATCAAAGACTGGACATATAGAAACCACTTGGTTGAATATACACTCGATAAAATTGAAGAAATTAACTTGGGTATGGAGATGCTGAACTCATCACAGATTGCGTACTGATAGGTATCATAAGCCAATAGACTTTAAGCTTTGGAACAATCTTTTTAATTTGCTTAGATTTTGTTTTTATGCGGAGAAAATGAAACGTTTTTCTCACATGCATGCTAAATCGATATAGACAAAAATATTTTTGTTTTTATTTTAAATTTTCAGGATGATGATGATACTGATTATCCACCAGTATGTTGATTCATCAAAAACAACTTGTCCTCTTTTTTCGCATTATTTGTCGCTTTGGCGAGGATCCGACATCTGATCTTTCACTTCCTCGTCGATGTGTAGCAAAAATGACAACAATTAGTAAAGATCCTTCATCAAATATTATTAATCGCAATCCATTAGTTCATTCACGTACACATATTGCAACAGATGATGGAACTTTTGATGAACTTAATCATTTTGTATCACCATCACGATAACAATCTTAATCAATAATACCGATAAATAATAATGAAGTAAAACTAAAAACTTATTTTATTTGCTAGGAAGTATTTTCGACTAAGTCAAAATATATAATGTTAAAATAGTTGTTAATTTTTCAAAAATTGAGGTGCTTTGTCGAAAGATAAAAAACAGTGCATTTTGTCGAGCAGTTTCGAATCAAAACAAAAAATATTTCGTCGAAACTGATTTCTTAGATCTTTTCAAAGATTGTTTCATTATTCTTGAACAAAATTTCTCTGCACGTAATCGAAAAGAACACAAATTTATCGCTTTTGATTCCGTCGAAAATTCTCTATCAGGTCAAAAGTGAACAAACATTCTGTCGAAAAAATTTCCGATCATTCTATAATTAAAATTTTTTTCGTAGGAAATGGGTCTTAGTCGAATTCCTGATCGATCATTATTATCAAGATTTAGTGATAAAGTTCACCATGAACTTCTCATAGATAGATGACTTTTATATTGATTTTGTCGTATTACATTACATCTTGTTATTGTTGACAGTAATCCTGAGCCAGTGATGAATGAATTAATTCGAGAAGCAGCTGATTTGTATATGAATATTTATCAACAACTAACTCATGGTATAGAATATAAAAAAATTGGTATCGTACTTATTACAGAATATTCTTGTTTAGCATGTGAAGACATAATTAATCCTCATGTAATGTTAAAAATCATTTTTTATGATAAAGATACATTCGAGTTTTTTAACAGGATTTAATTACATCTCGATTATCAGCA